AAAAAAAATTTTAAAAAAAAAAAAATAAAAAAAAAAAAAAAAAAAACGCTGTGTAATGTTATGGTGATTGAAGGTTAATATTCTTAACAAATATTGGGAAAAGTATGGCCCTGTAACCAACACCTAAAAATAACTACGATACAACAATCAGTTTGTAATGCAGCAGAACCTTGTACGTAGGAATATCACCTAAGAGCATGAGACCACCTGCTAAAAGTCTAACCACAGTTAAAACGAAACAATTTTTCATCATTGCCCAATTTGCAAAACAAATCTCCATCAGATAGTCTGTAGCTACAAACTTGATGTATGCTATACTGCATTTTTCTCAAATAGTCATTACTCAATTAAGCTGTTACCCACTCCAAATGTTAATACTAAATATCAGCAGCGTAAATCTGAGTTGAAAAACTGTCCCCAGTCGATTGATTGACCCATTCTTGCACAATCATGTAAATACCATGCTCAACATATAACCAAGAGTTACCACTTACTTTCAAATGCTCATTTTGTAAATCTTGCTTTGTATAGACTGAGATCAACGTACTCCACTGTCACCATTCTGCCATCAAAGCATCGTCCATGCAAACAATGTGCCGCTGAACAACAGGCTTCAGCCCTTCCATACTCCACAAAAATAGAACCCAGTTCAAATACATGACCATAAAGATCATTTTCCACATCCATGTCCTTCTGGGGACACACCAATTCTGAACTGGCATCTCGTTCAGAAAAGCCATCCTGAAATGCAGAAATTGTGTCTTTTGACTCCATATTGTCCCCCACCATCTTATTTTCTACATCCTCATCAATATCGTTAGCAACCATTTTATCATGAAATTCTGGCCCATCATCGGGTGTATCCTGTTGATCAGGACATTCTTGAATGATACTACAAGGTATGCTCCTACCGCCCACATCTTCAACTTCTGTCTCACTAACAATGTGTTCTCGACATGATTTATTGTCAAAAACTTCAGCATTTTCATCAAACTTAGCACTGCTACCACCATCAATTTTATCTCCTTCCAACTCTTTGTCATCATGGAATTCCTGCCCATTTGTTCCTTCAGATTTGGGGAAAGTAGCCTTGTCAGAAAAACTAGATTCTGTATTATTAGTAATACAGTTTCTGTCTTGAGAAACTTCAGAATCCACTTGGTCTATGACTTCACATTCTTTTAATTTGGTTGCTAAATTCTTGTCACTATTATGCTTGACTACATTAATTGATTTAACAGTCCCAAATCTGCAAGATAAAAAGTACTTCATACAATAAATGTTTATAAGTTATAAACTTCTAAATTGTGAATAATTCCAAAGGAAAAAATAAATACAAGCTTGATTTATGACCTTGCACATTCCAATCGTACATCATCCAAAATTTCTTCAATTCCCATGTCAGATAGAGACAAAATAGAGTCTGCTGCGAACTGTTCATGTTACACAAACAAAATTCAAAAAGTAATCATCAAAATATATAAAATCACTAACACTAATATTAAAAATAGAAACATCTATTTGACCCGAAGCATGTTGAGCAAGAGCCCAACCCAACAAAGATTTGAACAAGTCCAAAGCTCTTTTTCATATGAAAGACGACCAGGATCAAAATGTGGATTAAGTACAGGCAACTGGTCTGCTTGAAAATTGAAACTAAAAAACTGATTGAAATTGGATCAAGCCAAAGACCACAATCTAGAATGAATTAGGAACCCTTTTAGTGAATTGCTCTCTCAACTTCCCTCTGAATCAAGATGATTCAGATTCAATTATGAGAGGCAAGAACTCTAGTATATGCAGTATTTGCATTCGATCCATGGAATTCAAAATCTTCCTCTCCTACCCAATCTTCTAACACAGTTCCAAAACAGACCCTTCTCCCCACTTCTGTTATTTATTTCCCTCCTATTCACTGATTATTGTCTCAACTGCCTAACCGTCTATTTTGCTAGAACTGTGGTTAACAGTAACAGATGTTCTCTGATCTAATCCCTTACAGCCCCTCCATTCCTTCTAGACCTTCTTCATAGGAGGCCAAACAAAAACACATCATAATGCAATTTTCATTTTAACACTACAAGCATTAAAAATTGAACTCATATCAAATGAATCACTTTTTACCACAATTAAAATTCTTTTTACAGCTAACAGAGACACTTAAAAAAATAGAAAGGGAAAAAATGTCCACTGCAACTGAACGAAAATAATATAGCCAGTTAACCACATAAAAGCTAAATAAAAATTTTGTACCACATTTTTAATCTCTAGTACTTGTGTTGGCTTTCTGAGCAGTGACTTTGCATGGTCTGGAATCCCATAAGTTGGTGGTTCACCACCATTTTCCTGGAATATTTTTGTTCTTAAGAAAAAAATTGTGGATATAATTCAAAGGCAATCTGGGAATCATGTCCAAGAATCGAATAAGACTACAGGGTTGAGTAAATGGTGAAATTACCGAGGGTGATGCATCAGGCATAGCCTGAACAACTGTTAGTACTTCCCCTCCCAGCTTCATACCATTTAAACCCGCACAAGCTTTGATTGTAACAGAGTGGTCCACATACTGACACAATTTGCTAAAATCAGTGTTCAATAAAACAAAAAAGGAGACTACAACAGGAGAAAGAAAATAATACAAGTACCAAAACCCAACAAGAGTAAATAACAGTACACATATTGGCTTTCAGATTTTATTTTTTTCCATCTTAGAATTGAAAAGGATACTAAGAAGAAAAAATAACAGCTTTTGCAAGAGTTCATAACATAAGTTTTAGGAGAGAACCATAATATGCCCAAATTCATAAAAATTAATCAAATAACCAACCCATCAAGTTGTTTACATTTTGTACTTGAATTTAACTCTTTTAAAATGAGGGATGCACTTTAAAGGAAAAAGAGCTAAGTTATTGTTTAAGTCCACTAACTTGATTTTCTGATCAAATGTTATAACTCAGCACATTTTCCTTTATAGCACATTCCAAATTCTTAGCACATAATGGGCTTATCCTGCCAAAAGCCCACAAAATGGCTCAGCAAGTACTTTTTTCGAAGATGTGACAAACTAAGCTATACACATAAAATAAAACTACGAGAACATATGATAAACAAACCAAAAGCCAGCAGTTTAACTAAGTTAATTTTGATGAACTAGTTTGTCTGTTGGAATTACAAGGAATGATCAAATTGTTGATTTGTTTTCTCTAAAACCATTCAATTTGTTAAGAAAAAGGATCCACGAATCATCATCGTAATTGACAGAATCACTAAACTAGGGGAGAGAAAAGCTTCAAAAGGCAGAGACGTGGCTGTCTCTGCAGTGGAAGAAGATTTCTTACTCCAACACAACATTCCATCCCACCCTGGCAGGAGGAGTAAAAGTATTTCTTCTTTTCTTTGCATTGAATTTGTAAATACATTGATGAAAAGTACACAGCAGATAGAGGATTGTAGAAAATTTATATAGACAAAATTGAGAAGAAAAAAGTAATAAAAATGAAATCACAAAATACCTCACCAAAAACTCTCCATTTCTGATTTGTAATAGATAAGAATAAGAATTTACTAGTGGACCCATGAGCCATTTGGGCTTTGGTCAGATTGGTACATAGGCAGATAGGTGTAAATCAGACACTGCCATTGTACAAAAGATAAGAAAACTATTAAAAGATCAATAAGGAAGAAATGCAGCCTCACCTCGAGAAAAGCACATGATCCATTGACCTTGGTTTCAAAATGGTAAGCCTTCAAAGATCCAAACGCACCAGCAATCTCCATAAGCTAGAGAAGAAATTATAAAAAATATATAAGCCTTGATCACATGAAAGGTAATGCACATTTAGTAACTAGATGGAGCACCAAAAAACTAACTTAAAGATCACACAAAGTTCAATTTCAAAAAAGGACTGTATTTCTTAATAATTACCATCTCGGAAGAAAGATGATTCGAAATTCCACCAATGAAGATCTGCCACAACATAAAGATATAATCACTAGACAAACAATTAATTGAGCTAAGAATATAAAAGAAAGCATGTGATAATAATTAGCAAAGATAGTTGAATCACAATACCAAATAAAATTGACAACGTGTATGGGTTCCCTTACAAAGGTCAAAACCCAGAATACAGTTAAAGCTAGTAAGTCAAGAAACAATAACTGAACAGTCAACGTAACAGGCTAGAAGATCCTTCGAAGCCAAAAACAAGTTCTCCAAGAAATAGTACCAGGTTATTTTCTTGAAATGGCCCATGGTTACAAGTTTAACACAAGCAATAATTATAGCTAAAAAGCTAGACCAAGAAAGGATAAAGATATGAAATAAGCTCATTAGCTAAAAAAAAAAAATTAATTTAAACTAAAACAGTCAGATTAAGAAAAATGATCCCTTTAGCATTGAAGATATGTTCATTTTAAACATAAGTGATTAGCATGCAAAAACATGTCAAGAAAAAAGACATTTGTGAATGTGATACTCTAATAAATTAGGATGACGATAATAATAACAAGCCTTAACTTTTGGACTACGTGTGGTTTTGGTCCCCCAAGTGTTTTTCAAGCCAATTAAGTCCCTCTATTAAGAAAATTTGGTTCCTTTATCAATTTTCTTTTACCTATAAAATCATCACACACTCATTTTCTACTCAATATGATCACAAGCTGAATCAATTAAATTGTTTTTAAACCTTGAACACAAAACTCATTAATGAACAAACCCAAATTAATAAAGAAATGTCTAACTTCTCCCTTTTCCAACCCTCATCTCAAATCCTAAAAAATCATTAGTTCACTAAATTTCTGACTTCTTAAACTAAAATTATTTCATGTCCCAACCCATCCCATCCCATCCCTTGCCCAGCCCTAGTAAGAAAATTTTGTAGAGTTCGGTGAAGCCGTAGACCCAAATTCAACAATATTCATTTTATTTATAACATGGAGCATCTTAGCTTAATTAGTCCAAAGTATATTCAAACGAGACAGACTAGCTGATGTTTTTCTCCAAAGCAGTTCCATGACAATGGGTTCATGAAATTTGTAATAAGCCTAAAGGGGGAGTTTATTGTTACCAGTATATCAGTACTCCACTGTCTTATCATCTTGCAATTTCTATCCCAACCATCCAACATGGGTATATATTAAAGCATACATGGGTCGTATTGCAGACTATTCACTTATCCTCCTCTATATGCTTCTCTTATAATAATTTTAAACAATTATATATCATTACATAAGAAATTAAATTAATATTTGAATATAATAAACTCGATCAAATATGTTTTGTATACATCTTTTACAGAATGCATACATAAACACATTTACCACAGTCAAACTTCACATTCCACTGAAACAGAATAATGAAGCCATGCAGAATGATTGTGTAAAGAGTTTGTGTGATTGAGTGATTCAACCATGCATATAAGAGAAAGGTGCAGGCTAAGTAGGAGTGTTCATCGGATCGGATTTACCTAACGAACCCGACAATGCAAACCCAACCAATTGAAATGGTTCATATCGGATTGGATATTGGTTCTTTTAACTTTAAATCCAAATCAAACTAATTATAATTGGTTTGGTTATTGGATTTATCTTTTCACCCAAACTAACCCGAACTAATCCAGTTGATTATTTTTAAATTTTTAGATTAATATATTTTAAACTAAAGCTTAAATTTTGCTTCAACTTTTATATTTTATTCTTTTTCATTTATTTAATTTTCTTATCAACGTATTAAATGTTATCAAATGACTCAATTTGGTTTGGTCATGTTTATTACGTAAATTTATTATATTTTAGGTAAAGAAATTAATGATTTATATAAAGTGATAACTATAGAAAAATTAAATATTTTAAAGAAAATAAATAATTAGTTATTATAAACTAGAGAATATTTCTATCTATATTAATATAAAATCAATAATAAGTGGAAATAAAAATTTGAAAAATATAATAATTATTTTTTAATCATGACCCAGTGGCCTGAATCAAACCAACCTGATTCTAATTGACTTGGTTGAGTTCAGATTGATCAAAAGAATTTTCAAATCTGAACCAAACCATAGTACCATACAATCAAATATAATTGGTTCAGATTTAATTTTACCCTAAACCTAAACCAATTCAAGCCGCATACACATATAAAAGTAAAATTATTGTTTTGCAGGCATACCTTGTGAGGTGAATCAATTACAACATCACTTATTGTGACAGCAGTATCATCCACTGCTCGCTCTGGTTCACCAGTCTGCATGAAAATAGCAATTGTCTGAAAACCTGCTACATGGATGATAACCACAATATACCTTAGAATAATAAAGCTAACAAAAGCATTAGCTTGCAATAATAATAACTTTTTGAGTCATAGAAGTAAGAAAAATTAAGATCAGTTGACATTAACCAAACTTTTTAGATAAAGAATGCGAGGAACACAAGTAACTGAACAAGCAAATGTGAAAACATAAAAGATCAGCCACCAATAGAAAATCCTGTGAACAACTTATATAAGAAATGAGCCAAATAAACTAAAATGAGTATCCGTCATCTAAGCAAGCACAATATTATACATTTAATTAAGGGAAGATATGGCTTTAGTTCCTATAATTTTGGTCAAACGTGATTAAGTTCCTTGTACTTTACTATTAATGCATTTGGTCCTCAAACTTTAAAAAATACATAGATTTAGTCCCTCTTAAAAAATAATGAATTCTTAAAGAAGAGGAACTTAATCCATGTGTTTTTTAGAGTTTGAGGACCAAGTTCATCAATATGGAAGTATAGGAAACATGGCCACGTTTGACTGAAAATACGGGTACTAAAAACACATTTTTCTGTTCAATTAATTTGTATTATTCTTTAGGGAAGCTGTTTCGTGTATACATACAATACATACATATCCTATGCTACATAAAAACCGCTTCTTCTTTCAGAGGTTAGAATCCAGAGAGGAACCCAAATATCAGAAACTGTCAAAGAACAGGATGCTTCTTTTTTTTTTTTCCCAGGGGATTGAGGATAAAAGAAAAGGTAATTCAATTCAAGATGATTTTATCTTATAAATACTGCCAATTCACCAGTATTTACACATATCAAATCATAGAATATTATTCATAATCACATCAAATAATACCAAAAAACATAGCAAAAAAAAAAATATATCCCAAACAGTTAAATATTTTATTCTTTTAATGCAGTTCATGTGATGACTGAAGACCACCTTCACAGTATCAAAAGGGTCATTTAAATATAAAAATAAAATTAAATGAAGACATAAATTGAGGCCTCCATCTAAAAGAACCAAAATAATCCCATTTTTTGTTATGCAATTAAATAGTATGTGGCAACTCCCAGCAGAACAGTTCTGCTGCAAAATCAAGTGATCTTGTGATCATAAACAAAATGAACAGAATTACTATCAGACCGAATCACCCCTCAGCAATAAATTTATACAAGTATATTCAACCCACAAAGGATGCCATGTAAGGATCAAATACTAGAGAACTGCTTAAGACACTGTTCATTCCTTTAAGCTCGAGTAATACATAACATTAATGTATTAAAATTGACAACAGCAAGAAAAGAGCCATTTAGATTAATACGAGGACATACCCCTAATTTAGAAAGTTTCTACTTTAAGCAATGTCTGATGTATGTCAAGTGATAAATGTCAATGCACATAAAATTTTACGTGAAAGGGGATTAGATACCAAGTAAAGAATGGTGAATACACTTTGCCCTTTAATAGGTAAGATACACCATATCTAAATCAAGGATGACATGTTTTCAGCACGCAAAATAACCCAAATTTTCAAGCCTAGGGATATTGGAAATGAAGATAAATCAGGATCCCAAGGAAAAGTACAAAGCAGGCACTGGAACCGAGAGTGACATAAGAAACTCAGAAATAACTTGCAACCCATAGCACTTACATGCTGAACTCGATATAACAAACAAAGCATGAGATCATAAATAGCATTGTCAGAGCAGCCTAGAACAATAACCCTGAAACATTTGCCAGCTAAATCCTGGTAACGCATCAAACGTGCCAAAACACCTGGAAGTCTTCTTAATTAGGAGTCAGCTTCATCACCATCCAGAATGTGTATTACGAAATACCCCATATAAACATCCTATTTAAAAGATTCCAATACTAGGGTCAGAAAATATCTCATAAAATGGAACAAGCAGATCACTCCATGTGAATTAAAAAGCTCTTGAAGCTACAGAAGCAGTTTCTAGCATTTGGTTGTGAACAATATGAATTTATTGTCCAAATGTCCAAGAAACCTATCACTAAATATGCCATGAAACAAAATTCCAAGTTTATAAAGTACACCCTCACCAGCATTACCCAGAGGATTGGAATAGTCTTTCAGGGTAAGTAGAGATTTAGGATGAGGACAAGACAGCCTAAAATAGTTAGGACTAACTGACACAAGATTCTTCAGTGACAACAAAATTAAACTAAGTTTTTTCCCTTGATTATAATTTTCTTATTTATAATATTTTTTATGTATGACCCAAAATTAGGATCTAATACTCTTGTTACATTCTTCAAACATAAGTTCACAAAACAAAATTTATTTGCAAACAAGTGTAATATTACCCTCCTTTTGGTTTATTTTTATGAGTATATCCATGGGAAAAAAATCCAGCAGGATAACAACACACAAGGATCACAGTTATCCTCTCAACTAAAATGTGCATAATGACAAATACTTCAATAACATGATAGATACCAATTAGGGTCACCAGTTTTCTTCAGAGAATGGAAATTATCAAACTAATTTATAGTGAACCATTGACACATAAGAAACATATGCATGAAATTTTTATTTTGGATAGAGAATATGCATGAAATAAAAGTACATTTACCTCTATTGCTAAGCAAACATTTAAAGAATTTAATTTTCTAATGTTACTGAATTATACACTGGCCAGTTACAAGAGATTCAATTGTCTATAATTCTGTATTATTTATATGATCAAATACCTGTACTTAACATGATTAATACTAATAAATTGTTGTAAATTCATAATCTTCACAATGCCACCTAGGGTCTATTTGGTTCAAAGGAGGGGTGGGGAGAGATTTTAATGGAGAAGGAAAGGGTAGGGAGGGGAGGGAAGGAGTTGGAAATTTTGTTTGGTTGGGAGAAACAAGAGACGGAAGGTAACTCTTTTCTTGTTTGGTTCATAAAGGGAGAGGAGGGATTTTAAAAACCAATTTACCTTTGTATCCTTATAATTTTAAATTTAAAAACATAACAAGGATATTTCAGACATTATACTACAACTGTTTTGAAATCCTTCCCCTCCCCTCCAAATCCCCTCCCTTCCATTCCCTTCCAACCAAACACTATGCTAAGAAACAGTAAACAATCTGTGCAGCAACCAGGTCAGAAACAATAAATGGTAATTTTTGTATTCTAAAGTGTCCACCTCCCATCCAATAACACTTTTTAATTTTTGGCAACCACTGGGTGTATCCTTAAACTTTTGAGTACCTTTTTATGGTCTGTTATAAATATTGTCAACATTAGGAGGCAAAGATTTTGTGGCAGGGTGCTGTTTATGCATTGTTTGGAGCATTTGGTTGGAGTAGAATTCTATTTGGTTACATATTTTAAGAAAAATAAAATAGGAATAACTAAAAAAGTCATAACTTGGTTGCATTTTCAATCAAAGAAACTTGAGACAACATACACTAAAAAAATATTTATTTTTAGATTCTCATATGAAACATTCAACTTAAATCTAGAGCACACAAACAAGAAAATGCAATGAGATTTTATACATGCTCAGCCTAGGCATCTTTCTTTATGGACAGAAAGTAGGCAGAATTACAGAAAAGGTTATTTCTACGAAAACCTGATTGACTGACTAATCTAACAACATTATGATTACAAAAACATCAAAAGTTAACATTAAGTATGTACTATGTACTACTCATTAAATAAGGGGATACAACCTTTGCCAGATGCGCAATAACTTAAATCATCCCTACATTTCAGTTATGATGGGAAGGTCAGTAATGGGAATAAAATAGTTTGTTTCAATACACCTACGAATTGATTTGAAGTTGAAAGTGGAAACAAATTAATTACATATTACCCATAGCACATAACCTTCATAAAGAGCCAAGTCTTGAAATTTATACATTTTAAAACATCTCAAATCAGAAAAGTAAAGCCTTTTCTAAGAAATGCATACCATTAATCTGGGTCATTTAAACTGCATTTTGGTAACCAACAATGATAATTACCAACAATTTCTAAAAACTGTACAGTTCTCTGCAGTATGACAACATACAATCCAATGATTCATTGATAAACACCAGTCTTTACACAATATCTGATAGACCCCCTAGAACTAGGGCAATGCAGTTCAGCATGGTGAATATTCAATTGTAGCATAACAGAATGTCCATCTAGCAGTAAAAAATGAGAGAAGAGGGAATTTGGCTTGGAGGAATGAGATAGGTGAAGAGCAGAATGAGGAGTTAAGCAAGAAATTGTTTAATAGTTTAGATAGGTGCAGGGAGGCAGGATGACCCTCGTAAATATGTATGTGCTTCTATATTTTCTTTCTCTTAGTGTAACAAAGTCAGTTTTCCCTATTATGAGGAGCTATACTCTGTTGCTTCTCATAAAAGTAAAAATCAGTTCCTATTGATATCTCAAATTCCAACATTTGATTCTTCACAGTTTGAGGAAAAGAAAAACAGCTAGAAGTTACAAAACTTGTCAATAGAGTTTTAAAATGTTAAATAAATGAAATCAGCGGGATATAGGAGTCAAGCAGTGAAAAGTAAAACATCTCCAGCATCAATCATAAAATATTTAATCCAAGATGGATACAACAAGGGTCAGATGCATGCAACAAGCTTTTGACATCACCAAAGAAAGATCTTATTCAATTTTTGCTTCCCTACAATTTTGACAGATTTTGAAATAGAAAGGTAGAGACTTTGCAAAGAAATTCATGCTACAAATCTAGGTCCTCTAAGATCCATTACGATTGTAAGTGCAGTTTTGGTAACAAATGGATATTTACAACACATTACCATACAAGAAAAATATCTAACAATTATAGAAAATCTAAGCAAATATTTGTATTTCATTCATAAATGCACTTACAATAGGCATAAAGCCTTTTTTTATATTTTCCATCCCACAGACAAACTACCAAGTATCTATTAAAGGAAGTAAAATTAGTGTAACACAAACATATAAATTAGGCATAGAGGTAGAGCTACATATATTCCGTTCCCCTTTTAAATAGGCAATAGTTTTCTTTGGATTAAAAATAACCATATAGTTTCAGAAAATTTCACAACCTCATTCATTAAAGGATTAATTGTCCATTTAACATTTTAAACAAAAAATATTGAAAATTGATCATGTCATAAAATTCAAGAAACCTACAGATATAAACAAAAGTATAGAAGAATGCACAATCATAATAAATGGAATCTTTTCAAATAGAAACATCTCTATCTTCATTCATCACAGCATCAATAAGTAAACCAAATTCAAACAAAAATCTAAAAAGATTTGTCAATTAAAAGCAGGTACGAGTAAGCAAAGTAAGTGGTAAGAGTAATACAACTTTCATCAAAAAGTTCTCTATAAATGGTTGCATAGTTTTTTTGAGTAAATCAACAGCATTTTGGTAGAGAAAATATTAGAATGTAATATAAGTAAAAATAAAAAAAGAATTCACGAAGACAAAAATTTCAAACACTTTAACAGGCTAACAGCAATTATATTAATAGTTATAGTTATAGTTATATGAAACAAATGAAAGAATGAATGGATGGATAAGGTTTTCATTCTTACTGCAACTTCAACATAGTCTTTCGGGCGTCTAATTTTCACAATGGAGCCAAACAGTGTACTGCCATCAAAAGAAAGAGCAGATGATGCATCCTCAGCTGTAAGGAATTCTATAAGTGCTTGGCCCCTATCCTTATGCAACTGCAGCAAAGATATGCAAGAACAAATTCAAACCCATTGCTTCATAAGAGGGGGATAAAATTAAATTTTCATATTTTGTACTACAAACTCACAATACAGCTGATGCATGGTTGAGCTTGCTGGATATGATTTACACGGGCAGAAAGCAAGAGGTTATTGAAACAATCCATCACAGCTTTCTCAGATGCAGAAGCAGGTATATTCTCCAGATAAAGCCTTCTCATAGGCCGGGTAGCTTGTGTCAATTGAACAGAATCAATGTTGGTATTCTTCCCTGTTGATACATCACTCAGAAAAGATACAGGCAGAGGCTTCACGAGGGCTAGATCAAGAGAATTAGTTGAAACCACATCATGCGTGTTGGAAAACACAGCACAAGTTGATAATAAAAAACTTGAAGAAACAACAGCAGGAGAAAGATTATTTGTCCCTGCAGGGGGAAGATCCCATCCAGCACGTTTCTTCTCAAGAGAATGCTTAGATGGTGAAGGAGTCTTAACAGCAGCTTCACTTTTCCTTTTCCTTGGTGAATACCCACCAAGTCCACTTGTAGAGCTACTATGTCGATGATGATGACTACTTGAACCATTAGTTGATACTCTATTTCGATCAATATCAGGATGCTTTTTTCTAGAACTATCTTTCAGGGAATGCATAGTCAACTCTTTACGTTCTCCATCTTGATAAGTACGTTTTTGCTCCCTTGGTGAAAATGAAGGGGACTTTCTATCCTCGCGCTCTCGACTTCTTGAACGTCTCCTCTTTGCTGTTAATTCTCCATAATGTGACTTCACCTTTTCCCGCCTCTCCTTGTGCATGTTATGATGTTTCATAGCATCGTGTTTTATTGGTATATTCCTGTCTTGAGTTTCATCATCTCCATTTCGGTATTTTCTCTTTGTTTCCCTTTCATATTTTGCTCTACCCTCTGCATGTCTACTATCCCTATCCGATTCTCTATAATGCTTCTTTTCAGGAGCTTCTTCAGAGTCATTGCTTAACCACTTTTTCATTTTCCACCGATTATCTCTATCTCTGTCATGCCTCTTTTCAGTAACATACTCGTTAGGATTCTCATCCTCTCCAATGTGGCTCTTTCTCTTTATTTTCCTTTCAGATTTTGTTCTATTTGCTTCTGCATAACCATCCTTATTTACTGAACCTCTTGAATGCTTATTTCCAGCTTTATACTCAGAAGTATCATGAATTCGCTCATTTTTTCTATAACCAAAAAACTCTTTTTCAGTCTTTTCTTTGGTTATCCTGCCTTTATTATTTAATCCAGCACTTGATTTAGTTTCTAAAATATGGTTTGCTCTACTTTTCCCTTCGGTTAAATCATCTACCTTTACATAGGTGCTTTCAACCTTCTTTCTAGAACTTACTTTCACTAGTTCCTCCGTAGCATGTTTCTCCATGCCAAAGGATGCACTTTTATCATGTTTATAGATTCTGGCAGGCTCAAAATGATCAGAAATCTTCTCTGAAGAACATCCACGTGCGGGGTCTTTTACATTTTCAAGCAGTTCTCTGTTTCTTCTTCTAAGCATAATCTCTTCAAAACTAAATGGCCTTGTACGGGCTGCACTCTCTTCATCACAATTATCCTCAGAAAGCCTATTACTTTTTCCATGCTTCTGCTTCGAATGATTAGATTTTCTCATCTTGTATGGAGCAAAACCAATTATGTCCCTACTAAGAGATTAATGATAGCATCAGTGAAATACCATGCTGAAATCTTCAAATTAAAACTATCAAAAGATAGATTATACTGTTCCTGAGCTAGCCAAAAAAGGAAATACAATGAGATCACAACCTCAAACATGCATACATATGTAAAATTCATTCAACTAAATAAAAAACAGAAAGCCCTTTTCAAGCATTAACATATTCGTTGATTTCCTCCAATTATGCTATGAAGAAATTATTAACCACAGAATGAATATAATATGGGTCACGCTCCTCTAAAGTGAGCATCCCAATTTAGAGATTAATCCCAGTCATTGATAAGAAAATCAATAGTTGCTGTTACATGCACATTCATAAGCTAGAATTAGCTTATGCACAAGTTAAAATTAGCCTTAGGAGAAGCTGAATGTGAGAGCTTCTACAAATTAGATGGAGAGAAACTCATTTCATTTTACCTTATTATATTCTTCTATAAGTCTTTATGCAAAAATTTAATTTATCCAAACAGGGCCATAACATATATGCATTTGTTCCTTACATGGATCCAGTCTCTAAAAAGATGTATTTAGGCAAATTAGCAGCCAAGTTGATTGGCAGATCTAAACTCCAGATGATGATTTTGTTGACAGTAATGCAAAATGCATAATACACAATGAATGAACCTAAGTTAACTTTAGAAGAATAAAACCATATAAAAGAAAAGTACATTGCACCAAGTGCAAACTTTTGAAGAAAGACTAAATTTACCTTAGAATGTGGATTTGGACATGATTCTATAGAACTGGCTTATAAGGTAAGTATAGCCCCTCAGTTTTATACTCTATTTTGGCATAATCTCTAATTGATGTGGGGCTTGAGTTTTATTCCAATAATTTGGTACATTGCATAAAGGGCCAGTTTGTTTCAAAGTTTAGAATTGATTTTGATATATTAATTTAAACCATTGAATGTAATCGGGATCTGTGTACAAATTAATTTCAGACTTTCAGTCATAAATTTTATATTGAAAAGCGAGCCACAGTGAGAGTAATTAGTTTAGAGTGCCACCCAAACAAGTACAAAGAACGATACAACAACATAGACCAAAGCTTTTTGCTTCTAAGAATGTGGATTTGAATCTAAATCAACCTCACAAAATTAGCTTGAAAGGTAAGGGTCATCCCTTACTTATATACTTTATCATGACCTTTATCTCTAGTCGATAGATGATTTAGATTTTTCCTAATACAACCCTTTACACCAGCCCAACAATATGAGTTTAGAGCACAGATAAATGGTAGGTAGCCTTTCGATGGATTTAGAATTGGCTTTGATACCATCTTAAAATGTGGATTTGGACCTAACTCAACCTTACAAAACCGACTTATAAGATGAGTGTTATCCCCTACTTATAAACTCTATGTCAGTCTTATCTCTAGTCAATATGGGACTTGAGATCTTCCCAATATTCCCACACAAGATGGGTGATCAACTACATGTATCAAATAATATTATTTTTAGGAGGTGGCAAATCAATCCATTTATTCATTATCCATCCGATCCATCCACATATAAATTCATCCAATTCATCCATTATAATAAAAATAAATAATGAATCGGATATAATCCATCCATTTAATTTTATGGATGATTAGTGATCCATCCACTACATTTTCAAAATCCATTGGATTACAATATGAGATGTTTATTGAATTGGGATTTTAAAATACTATTTTGACATAAAAAAAAAAGTCTTGTAAATTTTTGAAAAATTATATAAGAATATAATGACTTACAAAGAAAAAAGAGATATAAAATATTTCAAAAATAAAAATTATTTAACTTTTAAAACGTTACTTTTATGGATGGATTAGACATCCATCCATGAAAAATTTGTTAATGGATGGATTGGATGGATTTTTCGCTTTAAATGGATTGGATAGATTGGATTTTTTATGTGAATTTTTAATAGATCTAAATAGATTAATGGATTTTTTTTTTTTTTCCAATCCATTATGACTTGCCTAAAAAATCATCCGATCCATCCATTTGTTACCCCTAATCATTTTATATACTTCTAATGGTTTCACTTAGAATTCTCTTGGTCTTTCACTTAGAATTCTCTTGGATAAATGGTAGGTGGCCTTTCAATAGATATAGGATTGGCTTTGATATCATCTTAAAATATAGATTTAGACCTAATTTAACCTTACAAAACTGGCTTGTAAAATGAGGGATATCCCCCACTTATAAACTCTATCTTGGTCTTATATCTAGTCAATTTGGGACTTGGATTTTTCCCAATATTCCCACACAAAATGGGTGATCAGCTACATGTATCAAATGATATCATTATATATACTTCTACTGGTTTCACTTAGAATTCTCTTGGTCTTTCCTCTACCTCTAACTACTAAGATATCCTCCATACAACATAGCTAGTCTTGCAATAAAAATATTCTTTTAGCTTAAAAGACATTTTTCTATAATCCTATTTGTATCACAAATAACACTTAACCATTCCTTCATTTCATCCACCCAGCTTGAGTCCCATTATTCATATCACCCCCTCCTCCATCACTTTATATTGTAGATCCAAGATCCTTAAATCGTGTGATGGGTGTATGATCTCAAATTTTCACCTTCAAGCCGATGCTATCACATTTCTTCTTGAACTTGCATTTCATATACTCTGTTTTATTTCTACATACAGAAGAAATGTCATGCTATTGCAAAGCTTCACTTTATGACCCCCTACTTTAACATTTATTCCCTCTCTCTCAACCCTCACACGGTCCCACTAGAAAAATATCATATGTAAAACGCATTCATTAAGGCATTTCCTCCTGGATATGTTAAGTAAGAAGGACCAACACCAAGGTAAAAAGATAAAGGCTCAAGGTTGACCTACAAAAATCTAGACAGCCTAACAAGCTAAAATATCCTGGTTTCATTTACCTTTGCCAAGTAATTGAACAGCTTCACAAATAATAACCCCAAAAGTAGCAAGAACTCTGCCACTACCCAAGTAATGTCATGATGTCCAAGACTCCAAAAGTTTAGAAGTACAGAATCAAACTTGAACCATATCCGTCTGTTTGGGAGTTGGGTTTTGGAATGGAATGGAGGGGGGGTTAGTTTTTAGTAAATTCTCTAATTTGACATTTTTTTAAAATGAAAGAAATAAATAATAGATTGGCATAAACTTAATTTTCTAATGCTTTATTTATTTTAATAAATATTACATAAATATCTTAATTTAAAAACTAAAAATTTGGTCTCCATTGTCTTCCCCTTCAAAATTCAACTCCCAAACAGTTCATAATGGATGGGAGTGCTTAGCATTCTAATACAACAACTACAAAAGTCATATCCCACTAGGTGAGATCAACTATATGAATCATTAGACGTCTTTGGACTCAGTTAAGAAACATAGAATTTTAATAAATAATTATTATATTTTTTGAACTGTAACCATTGACAAAATCAACATCCTCGAGTGCATGGATCAATTTGCAGATGGCTTTTTTTTGGGTGATTTTTGCACATGGTTAAACAACTCGTGGTCTCGAATTCAATTCTTCTCGTCTCATACCGAAATTGACAACATCAACATAAATGGGCTTGTGATTAACAGTACTACATTCTTTCGTTTTCATTTATCATTTTTAAATCAATTTCTCACATTCTCATCCACTCCAAGTCCCTCATTTGAAACACCTTGAAAATACTTATATTATACATACTCAGAAAGCACATAAATGCTAGTATTTACCACTTGGAAATTGAAGTTACACTTGCACGAGCATTTTTTTTTCTTTCAAAAATCTAGCCTATGAATTATGATCTTAATATGCTAAATTGCAACTACATTCCTCCTCAATTCCGTAAACTAGAGTTAGTGCTTCCCTCTAAAACCCGCGATACCTTTCAAATCCCATAACCTAAATCAAAGGCACTTTACTTCATCAGCAACGTATAACCAAAACCTAATATTGGAAAATGAAAAATGCTACCGCGCAACGAGATGACGAAGAGAGAGAACCTGGAGAGAGAAGAGTAAAGGTGCTGTGGTTGGCGACGGCGATGGCGGCGGCGAAGAGAGTGAGAACGAAACGTGAGAAGAGTGAGGGTTATCTATATAATCTACGCAATGCATAGTATTCCCTCGTTTCACTTCATCTTCTCCTTTTATTTCTGAAATTAAAACTGATATATAAACATGCCCACATATTTTGGATTTTATTTTTTAAGTTTAATATTTTTAAGCTAAATAATATTTTTTTCTCTTATTTTAGTTAATATACAATTTTAATCTCATATATTAAAATAGAAATATTTAGTTCTTTAACTTTAAAAATATATTATTTTAATTAACTAAATTAATAAATATAAATAATATTATTAAATTTATTTTAATAATATTATTAAAATACATTTATATTTTTTCTGACAAAAAAATACATTTATTTGATATAGTTATTAAAATGAAATAAATAATAATATTAAATAAATTTATTTTACTAACATTATTAAATAAAATTTTATTTTAATATATTTAAATAAGACTATAAAATCACTTTATTTATTTAATTTTATTTTAATAATGTTGTTTAAATAAATTTATTTTAATAATATCATTACACAATATTATTTATCAAAATAAATTTATTTATTTATTTTATTTTTCATTTTAATATTTTTTTTGTTAATCAAATAATTTTATACACTACTTTTCATTAATTAATTAAAAATTAATTTAAGTTAAATAACATTTTTATATCACTAATTAATATTAAAATTTAATGGTTAATGTTTAAAATTAACCCTCATGCTAAATTAATAGTGAGATCAAAATTATGTATTTTAGAATAAAGAGACTAAATATATCTTATTTTAAGATATGAGACCAATATTTTATATCGATAAAAATAAAAAGATATAAAATATAATTTGACTTATTTTTTCCTTTTCCATAACAAACTTATGATTTGTACCAAAGAAAAATAATAAACTTATAATAATTTATAATTCCTAGACAATAAAAAATAGGCTATTATTATGTAGATGACTTTATTAACTTTTATAAATAACTAAAAAATCTTATTAATGGAATCGTAATTGATTTTATTTTAAAGAGATTTGTAATTAATTAATGGTATAAAATTATTTTTCACAATAAATATTTATATTTCAAGAATAATTCTACCTAAATTTATTTAACTCGATAACACATGTTTTATATCAAAATTTAACGATTTAATCATTAAATTTAAAGTTTTTAATGCAGATTTGATCTGTACATTAAGAATTTTAAATTTAATTATTAGATAGTTGAAATTTAATGTAAAACATTAGTTATTAAAGGGAGTAAGACTAAGAAAATTTATTCTTAAAGTAAATAGATTCCTCCTTTTTCTTTTATATATATATATATATATTTACTAA